TACCACGGGTCAGATTGGGGTTGAAATGGTCAAATGCCCTTTTTTCTATTCAGTAGCAGTCTGTATAACTTGGTGACTTGCTCCATGTCCTGTAGTTCAAGTAAAGGCTGTAATCTTTCTTTATGGTGCTCATTACAACACACAGGGCGTAATGTCACTTGGAGAATTGTTCCAGGAAATTGGAGTATGGGGACATTTCTCAGCTTAGTTTGAACAAATGCCTGTGACTTCAGAGTGGTTCATATAAGCAGCTTATCCTAGTGGAAGGTATACAACTCAGACGTTGTTTGAAAAGGATTATTAAGTTACATACTGTTAAAGTACAAGTTTCAGATGGGGGTGGTTGGTTTTCTTGGACAAGATGATCAAATCCTTGTCTGAATTCTTTGCAAAAATAACTTGTCTTTTTAAAGGGCTACATGGAGTTACATTAACTGTCCTTTGTGAACAATTTTAGACTTATTTTCATTTGAACCTTCAAGCAAATGAATAAGCAAATAGAAAACCAGTACAATCTACTTTCATGTGTATCAGAAGGCAATATAGTTGTGCCGTCTGGATAGCACAATTTGAGGGACAAATGAAGGGGCAAAGAGATTTCATGCATTCCAGTGATGTATCTGTTGGTTGTCCATGGTTGTCCATGGTCCAGTATGCTAATTACCCTCCTTTTCTTTGCCACTCTGTTCTCCAGTTGCATCTATTTTCAAGGAGTTTAGCTACTGACTCTTTAGCATGCTCCATTCATTATTTCAGCTTTGTTTCTAATGCTGCAGTCCTTTGAATTTTGGCACTCTTGTGCTTTATCCAAGGTCTTGTTACTTGTGTTGATTTTTCTAGGCCCTGTACAGTATTCTTGCTTTTCTGTCTGCAAACTGCAACTTGAGTTTTTTGTGCACTTGCTGTAGAAGCTGTCCTTCAGTTTGACCTCCACAAAATCAGCATTTCAGAAGTCATGGTTTAGATGCACTCGTAGATGTGCATATTTGGTTTTATGCATGGGGGTCCATTTTCACTTTTGGTTTTGTTCAGAAGCCTCTCTGTTCTTCAGAGCAAAAACCCAGGAACTTTGACTGCAGAAAGCTCTTCTCTTTTAGGAGAAACTAAGGGAAGTCACAGATACAGAGATGATGAACCAAAAATCGTCTTGGGTTACAATTTAAGTTTGCTTGACTAATCATTATGGCAGTTGCAGTGCCAGATGTTTCAGAGTTACCATTTCTGAAGAAAATGTTGCATCTCATCTTTTTACGAGGCACCACTGCTATAGTACTGTTCAGAATTGTCCATCTTTAAGAAAAGAAACCAGCAGTGGGTAGTGTACATTTGCCAGTAAACTTTGTGATTGAAGTACCTTTTCTCTTTGGCTTTAATAAGAATAGGAAGAATGTCTGTCTCCTTCAGTACGTATGTGCATCGTTCAAGCACCCTGAAAGTTGAGGCTTCCAGAGTAGGGCACTGGTTTGGTCTCCTGCTATGAGGCTGCAGTTTTCTAACATGACTGCAGAAATATGTGGCTGGGTTAAGAAGGGCAAAGGGGAAGGGTAGTAAAGTTATTTGGAGAGTAAGGGTGTAAGATGAGGACTCCTGCTTAGGAAGATGACTAGAGAAATACAAGAGAGGGTCAAGTTAAACCATGTTCAGAAACCGTTGCTTTATTGCACATCATGCATGCAGATTGTTCTGGGTCTGAATTCTCTCTTCAGTGTTATTACGTAACAAAGTTATGCATTAACTTGGGCACTTGCACTGCTATAAGTTAATCTGATTTGCATACAGAGCTATATGCTTAACTAAAGGTGTCATTCCAACTTAGTATACTGCATAAAACACCTCATGAAAGAATGAAAAACGTACTAGTCATTTAGGTAGACACTGAGGTGTGAAAGATGTTTCCAATAGATGAGGACTCAGAAACAGGTCTAAGATATTTTTAGTAGGAAGGAGGCATGGTTTTTTTTGTCAGCCTTTTGTGTGTGTATGTCATCCCCCCACATCCCCTTTCTTATAAAACTAAGTTGTTGGGTTTTTTAATTTTTTTTATTTTTTTGTAACTAAGACTCTTGAAATTCTTCTGGTTTTAGCCACACATAAAAGTGTGGGGGGAGAAGTAGCAGGTAGCTTCTGATTCATAAGCATTCACAGATTGGTCATATTAACCTCAATTTTTTTCTGAACAAGAATTGAAATTCTGAAAAAACTGAAGGCTTGGGATATTCATCCTATCCACAAGTAAACTATGCTTTCCCTTCTGGTTTTCAAAATCCTCATTATTTCAAAATCCTGATATGGCCTAATGTCCTACAGGTTTAGACTGGCGTTCTGGTGGAAGTATGATTAGCTAGAGTGTTGCAAGGAAACTGCAGTCTGTTATTGCAGTTCTCAGAAGGTGACTACTTTATGCTATGGACTGTGAATAATTTCCTAAGCAGAAGTTATGTGACCACATTGTGGTTATCCTTCTGTCTGGTTGTATTCACATCTATGGTGGGTAGCTTGTGCCCTTGCAGAATCATGTGTCAACATCTCACCTACAAAGCTTAATTTAGAATAGCAACAGCTTTCAGTTTACATTCTGGGGAGGGATAAGGCAGTTTGATTTTAAATGGAGAGTGGATTTTTGAAGTGTGCTAGCAGTTCTGTGTGAGTTGCTAGAACTGCATAGGACCTGTCTGTGTGTATTTTTAATCATGGTTTACATGACAAACTGAGAGGGAAGAACAGCTTACAATGCACAACTCTGAATATTGTATACCTAGTGATGCAAGAGATTAGAAGGAAAACTGTGGTTTTTAGTCCAAATTTGCCAGTGCTTGTGGTCAGTTTAACTGTATCCTGTTCTTAATGCTTTTCTGTTTTGTTTTGTTTTTAAACACAGTAATAATGTAAAATAATTCACCAAAATGTGGTATTTGCCAGCACAGTTTCTGCTTTTTGAGCTCGAAAAAGGTGAAATAATTGAGTATCTGCATTCTATTTTATGATCTCTTCAACAATAAGAAAGTGTTAGGCGTTAGTTTAAATTCTGCTGCTATCATGGAATGAATAAAAAGTCTATTATTCTGCAGAATAATTCCCCATACGATTTATGGCAGCATTCAGTAATTATTTTGATCACTCTGACTTCACTGGAGTTGCATGTGAAGATAAAAAAAATCTAAGTCATATTTTTTTCCTAGCAACTGCAGTAATGTGAACCTCATGCATGTGCTTAGGACACAAGACCAGTGTACACTCTATTTTGTTGGCTAGTTACAGTTTGCGTGGGCATCGATATTTTGTGTTCGCTTGAGAAGAGACAGAACTTAAGAGCAGGGGTTGGGGTGAGAGGAATCAGAGATGTACGGCTGCTGATGTCTCTCCATACAGCTGAAGTATGTGTGGCTTTGATTTTTGTTAACAAAGCATGTGAGCCAAAGAGTGTATATCCAGTCCCTGTGCCTCGCATTTGAATCATTATTGTGGTGAGATCAAATAAACATTCCTTGACTGTTTATTCTAACACAGATGTTTTAGAAAGGTTGATAGTGGCTGGAAGAGACAATGTGAAAAGCTTTGTTGGATATATAATGTCAATTATAGCTGGAGCTGTATTGTGATAAAAGCATGTTATCAAAAAGTGCTGTTATTACTTAGAAAACTGATCAAATGTATTCCATGCGCAAGTTACAACCTTCTAAACTCCCTAGTGTACTAACTTTTCTGCTAGTGCAGCTGCTTAGCTGGGGCCTCAGGTAAAATCTGTTTCAGAGATTCTTCTCACAGTTAATTTTTGTCCACAGTCTTCAAATAGAAAAGCTTGTAGTCTTGCTCCATTACCGTGTATTGTATAACAGTGATTTGCACACTTTGATGCTTCCCAGGGCAGAATTTGCAAGTATGTAAATCTGTGACCTATTTTGTATGATTTTTTAATAATGAATGCACAAATAAACAGATGTGGATTAGAAGGGTGGGTTGGATGGGTAGGGTGTGAAAGCCATGAAGATAAACCAGTCAGTTTACGCTGCCTGCAAGTATAATTCGTACTTTCTTAAGCATGAATATTTGCTGCATCACATCCCAATGATGGGAGGTGGAGGAGGATAGGGTGTGCAGTATATTGGTCTGGCTAGAATAAGGAAGCATGAATTTACAATACATGTGATTTTATTTCCAAGCAGATTTTCTTAGACTTGTCAGGGGCAGTTGTCTTTCAGTGAAGCATGAATACATTAATAATGGTTTTAAGTAAATCTGCAGCACAGACATCTGAGAAGCTTGCTGCGTAATTTAACTGAAAATCTAAGGATGAGCTTTCACAAGATGGCTGAGCCAAACTAATGGCTTGCTGTTGCCTGAAGGGACAGCTGCTCTGTTCCTCAGAGTCCTGCTCCTAGTTATCTAGCGTTGCCTCTTCCTTTTTGCAGACTCTGGCGTTATCTTGGTCATTCAGATCACTTGATCTGTTTAAAACAAAACAAAAAGCCCTGAACCTCCTCCCCCGAAAGAAAACCTAATCAGTTTGCTTTTGTTTCCTCATCACCATCAGAAAAGCACAGTGTGAGCAGGATTTTGTGGCCAGCAGGTAGGGATCTAGGGAATGCTGCTGTCCTGGAAACATTGAACTCTTCCGTTGGCTCAGTAATTGCAGGGAATATAGCTATTCGGATGTGTGCCAATTAACAAGTCCTCTTTCAAACTAATTTCATACATACCTATACTAGAGGCTTTTGACAGAACCATGAATGATAGTGGAATATAAGTTCTTCAAGTAAAACAGCTGAAAATGCTTACAAAAATTTCATGAATGCAGTTCAGCTAGTAGCAGTGTCCTTGTTTAGATTAGATGAAAGCAATGCAAATTTTACTTGAGAGACACAGAAAAGTCAGCTTTATATCTGTGTATTTTTGTCATCTGAACATTATTTGGGCTATTATTTAATAGTTTCCAATAGGATGTTTAAACAAGAGAGGTTTAAGAAATATCTTAATAACCCTTTTTTTCTTTTTTAGAACTGAAGGAAAGTCACCATGGGAGCGTTTTTAGACAAGCCAAAGATGGAGAAGCATAATGCCCAGGGGCAAGGGAATGGGCTTCGTTACGGTCTGAGTAGTATGCAAGGCTGGCGAGTTGAAATGGAGGATGCACATACGGCTGTGATTGGTTTGCCAAATGGACTTGATGGATGGTCTTTTTTTGCTGTATATGATGGGCATGCTGGATCACAGGTTGCCAAGTACTGCTGTGAGCATTTATTAGATCACATCACGAGCAACCAGGATTTTAAAGGGCCAGATGGGCCACCATCTGTGGAAAGTGTAAAGAGCGGCATCAGAACAGGTTTTCTGCAAATTGATGAACACATGAGAGTCATCTCTGAGAAGAAACATGGCGCAGACAGAAGTGGGTCGACAGCTGTGGGTGTCATGATTTCTCCCCAACATACATACTTCATCAACTGTGGAGACTCGAGAGGCTTACTTTGTAGAAACAGGAAGGTTCACTTCTTCACACAGGATCACAAACCAAGTAATCCACTGGAGAAAGAGCGTATACAGAATGCAGGTGGCTCTGTAATGATTCAACGTGTGAATGGCTCTCTTGCTGTTTCAAGGGCACTTGGGGACTTTGATTACAAATGTGTCCATGGGAAAGGTCCTACAGAACAGCTAGTCTCACCTGAGCCTGAAGTTTATGAAATTGAGAGATCAGAAGAAGATGATCAATTCATCATCCTGGCTTGCGACGGTATCTGGGATGTTATGGGAAATGAAGAGCTGTGTGACTTTGTAAGATCCAGACTTGAAGTCACTGATGACCTTGAGAAAGTTTGCAATGAGATAGTTGACACCTGCTTGTACAAGGTAGCCAGACTTGAGAGAAGAAGTTCACTGTGTTTCACTATTAGAAGGTTATGAACAAGTTAAGAATAAGTTTTGATTCCAGTCTATAAGTATCCAATGGTTTATGTTAACATGACTTTGATAGTAATTACCATAATCCCCACAAAAATGGTGATAGAGAGAGGGGGAATGAACACACAACAGAAAGAGTATGGCTTTCTGGGTGGTTTTGGTTAAGGAAGAGTTTAAAATCACATACAGATACATTGTGAGCACTGGGACACTAGAAGCTGATGGGAATTTATGGCAAGCCAAGGACAATAACTGCCCTTTTCTGTTTCACAACATACTTTACAAAACCTTAACTCTTAAGACTAATCGGGCTAGAGAATATTCTTTCCCTTCCTAATCTTCCCCTGCTTTCTTTGGAATATAGTAGTAACATTACTGTCATAATTGCACCAAGACAAATGCAGAATGAATGAACCTTGACTTCATGTTTTGCAGTTTAAAATTTCTTCTTGGCTATATGAAGCTCTAACTTCCGAAGTTAGTTTATTATGGTTTAATTACTGTATTTCTTATTCAGTGTTGTGTGACACAGCTCTGAAACTAGGTCAAGTAGAAGAAGATGGGACCGTTTTAACAAATCTGTGTAGTTATGCCTACAATAACTTCAGCTTTGTATTAGTAAGTTGCAAGATGGTGCGGTTACAGAAGAGATCTGAAGTATTGAGTTTCATAGCTTGACACTTAATTTTCCAAAGGCAAGCTGTAAGTCGTAATGTACATAAAGCCAACATTTTTGATACTAAAGAGACAAGACAGCATCTCTACTCTTGCTACATGGCTAACAAGGTTGTTTACATTTTGTTTACATTTTTGTCTGGTAACCCTGAAAACAGGTACCGGGGAAGGAATGGTGGCTTGTGGATGCTGTAAGCTTTGCAGTAGCCAACTGTCAGCACCATCCTGTATGCCTGTATACTCCTGTTTTAAATGCTGGCTTGTTCTTGATCTTGCTCACTTCAGTGGATGTAATTGGTGTTAAAAGTTAAGAGTATGGATGCATGTTTGTAGACCAGAGCACAGGGGTATTGAAAGTAAACTAAACAAGTACTTTACATAAGCAGAGTGTATTTTAATGTATTCAAGTATTAGGGTTCTGTTTAGTTGGAGTTTTAAATGTTTCCATTTCAAAGAATGCATTTGTAAAGGCCTGGCCCCCTTCCAGCTGATCTTTTAACAGATCCTCTTACTTGTAACTTTTCTTTTTTTAAAAGAAAAAGGAGGAAAAAAACCCAACCTAATAGCTGTGATTTTTAGGTGGAAGCACTGTCTGAATTCAACACCTCCCTACTTAGTGCTTTTAAGCAGTAGTGTTTTTTTGACCCATCTCATATTCAGCCATTTTCCCTAAATGATTGGATAGTACTTAAAACAAGATGGAACACAACTTTAATTACACATCATTCATTAGTATTGTCAGTTTTTAAAAGACAATGGGCTGTCTGTAATTGGCTGCATGTAGTCTTCAGACCATAAAAGAGGAGATAACAAAGTGACTTAAAAGGTTGTACTGAATGAATAGGCAGACTTCTGGAATTCTGTAAGGGGGTGGGGGCAAATTAATGATAATATTAATCCATAGTAGCAAAGGTTGTATTCTAATACCATATAATTTGTGAATATTTGTGTGTGAAATGCTTTGATATGTATTTAGCCTGGTGTGTATACATTCTCAAATAATTTTTTCTTTTCCACCAGGGAAGTCGAGACAACATGAGTGTGATATTGATCTGTTTTCCGAATGCACCAAAGGTATCACCAGAGGCGGTGAAAAGAGAGGCAGAGTTGGACAAGTACCTGGAAAGCAGAGTAGAAGGTGGATCATTTAAAAAAAAATAAGTAACTTTGTTTCTAAACAGACTCCCTGGCTCCCTTGCCCTTCCAACAACTAAACTCTTAACACATACAGGCTTCTTAGTAGACCTTCAAGTGCCACTGGCCATCTAGTGTACATCTCTGAAAAAGGCACTCATACAGTCCTGCTCTGTCTCCTGAAAAAATTCTGCTATGAAAGTTGTAGCAGCCTATAGCCCTGAAAATTACTCAGGATGGCAGAGAAATAATTATTTGTGCTCAGTATCCTTCATGAGTCCATTGACAGCACTAACTTCCAACCAGTAAATCCTGGTTCCTGTTATAAGGAGTTAAATGAAAAAATCAGAATGTCTTGCAAACTGCCTGCAAAGATGGTAATTTGAGTGCCATTTTTCCGTATAGTTATGTACAAATTAGCCATAATATTTTATTCTCCCATTATAGTAGGGTTACAACTTGATTACTGATGTCTTTATGGCACCTGCTAACATATTTACTTACTTGAAAGTACATGATAAATTTGTCAACGCTTATCTTTAAGCATTCATGATGAACAAAACCTGGGAGCACATCTTACTTTGATAACTTCAAAATTTTGCTTTAAATTTGTATTTCGGGAGTTCTTAAACTTTAAACTGAAACCGCAAATCTTAGGCGTTTTGGGTCACCTATCTACAAATTATACTTGAAATCCATTTGATTTAAAAGATTTCTCATTAGGCTGGATTTATAGTGCCTTTTGGTATTTAAAAACAACCACAGCTTGGAGTTTCTGAAACATAAGACATGCTGTATGCATTATTTGCATAGGTTAAGTCTATTTTTGAAGTGGACTCCTCTAGACCTATATGTTACAAGTCTAGTCATGTGTATATACTCCAAGGATCCTTAATAGCACACAGGGCACGATATGCAGAGTTCTTCACAGCTATGGTATCAGTGATTAGTAAGTTAGAGGAACTTACTGTGCACTTTTTTCCTCCTTAACTTGCCTGAAGATAACACAGTACAGCTTCAGAAATTTCACAGGATACTTGCCTGTGTTGGGGATTCTGGGTTCAGACAAATTAGTGTGCAGTTTTAAAGCACTTACTACCTGTGTAGGTGCTCCTTCAGAAAGTATCGCCTTTTTTCAAAGGCCTCATCTGCAAGGTCTTGTCAAACTACATCTGTTCTGCCCTTGAAGAAATGTCCAGACGTTTCTGTGTTTTAATCTAACACTTGCCTAATAGGAGAAGTCGATGCACAGTAAGCAACAGTGTGAATCTTTTTGACAGTGTAGCAGGAATATCCAAGTGTATGGTAACACCGCATGAGTTCAGTGTCAGATGGCTTTCTCAATTTCAAAGCAGTGAGCAGCTCTGTACCAGGCATTTGAAGAGCTTACTATGTATGCCCACTCACAGAACTGGTGAAGTAACAAGTATTTTGTAAATTCACACATTAACTTAAGAGCATGCTAACTCTCCTAATTTGCGCAAGTATTACTTTTGTATCTTAGATATTTTGTCTGAGTTCAGACAAACCCATGACTTAGAATATGAAAATATGTTCAAGTTAAGGCTGCATCTTCAGCTGGCCTGATTGTACCTCAGGAATATTATGATGAGCAAAACTGACATTTTTGTATAGACACTTCATTTTGTAAATGAAGAACCTAAATACCAGAACTACATGTGATTATGGTACATACAATTAATTTGGCTGCTGGTACTTTGCATTTATACAAATACAAAATTTCAGGAATGAGTGAAGTGTGATACTTGTGTAGAGGCAGAAGGATTCTGTATGTAGTCATAAAGCACTTTAAATACTTATATACAAATACTTATTTGATGGGATGATGTCTGAGCAACTTGAGGAAATACATTGTACTTCCCCTGAAGGGTTTTTGCTTCTTTTTTTAGAGTTGTCGTCAATCTTTTATCTATTGTTGCACAAAGAAAGCTGCTATTTAAATTAATGAATAAGTAGTAAACACTATTCAACCCAACAGTGATTTGTATCAGCTGTGCGCAGAATTTGGCCTTTTTAGGTCTGTTTTATGAGGGAAGTTGAGAGGCTGAACTAAAGGAGAACTTCAAGAACAGGAGTTGATTAACTTTGTTACATTTAACTTAATTCTTGTGCAGTTAAATTGTTTCCTGGTGTAAATGGATAATGCAGTATTGGGTAGTAAGGTAGGACTGCTACAGCATCTGAAACTTGCAACACTGCAGTGAATAATCTTGCTGTTATCCTAGGGTACTTTAAGAATGGTTGTGCTTAACTTTAAAAGTCTAATCTTCAGCTGAAGGAACTAGAAAACATCAAGAGTACTTTTAGAATGATCTTACTAATCTGTAATATCAATTTAAGGTTAAAATTCATTAAAATGGAAACTTGGTGAAAATGCATATTGTGTATTTTTATGCACATGACTACTTAGTGTAGTCCAACAAGTAATGAGATTTGATGCTTACTAATGTGCATTTTTTCTGGTTGTACTTTTATTCCCTCAGCCCAGAATAAATCTTTATGCTGTTAAGACATAATGCAAGTTTTAAGACTGAATAGGACTTAGTAGTGATGTGAATAAGGAGAGGCAATTCAGGTTTTAAAAAATTAAGAAAGTTTTCTGCTTACCATGCCACCTAGAACTCTCCTTTTACTAATTTTGATGTGTTTGTGGTCCAGATTTGTAGCTACAATAAATAATGAAAACGAAGCAAGTGTGGAGAAGCATCTTTGTGCCATTACTTGCAATAAATAAGTGTTACTCCTAAACTATCATGTGAACTTCATGGTAGAAGTAATCAGTTATTCCAAAATGTGTTGCTATTATTTGCACTAATATGTGTTATTGATGTGTTGACTCTAAAAAGAAACGTGTCTAAGCTTTTTTTCTGTTCTCAGTTTTTTACATTAAAAACATTCCGTAATAGATAATCCTTGCAATATTTATACCTATATAGAGATAAATCACTTTAAGTTAGCTGTTGTATGTTCCTTCCCATACTTTCACAAAATCAAAACTCTGGCTTTTTCCTAAACTTTGTGTGGAATTCCCATTCAGAATATGGAAAAGCAGATATGTTTTGAATCCTTTATTTTAGGGGTGTAAGTACATTTTTCTAGTACTTGATGTCATGAAAATGTGTAGAAGGTTTAAAAGTAAATTAAAGGTTGGGGGAGGGTTGTATTAAAAGAAGGTAATTCCAACAAATTAAACACAGCTAGCAGACCGACTCCATTTGTTGTGTCTTCAGTGTTCATTCAGTCTGTATCAATAGTTTTATCAAAATATAAATGTATTCATTTAGTGGAGACTGTATGTTAAATGTACTGCAGTTACAGGTTGTGAAACTGTGTAGTATAGGTAAACTATAAATTCCTTATTTTTGTACAGCAGAACTTTAGCACTAGCGCAATGTAGAATATACTAGATGTTCAAAATTGCACAATAAAGGAACTTGGCAAACCAAATCTGAGATCTTTGCTTCTTATTCAGATTTAAGAGTGTTAGATTATTTATTTACTAAACACTAGATGGTAAAATGAATTTTGGCTATAGATTTTGAGGAAATGGCAAGTTTTTGAGGTGTCTGTTGTGTGGTGTCATGTATTTAAAATGTAGGTTTTGAAGTAAACAAAGCTTTGTGTTGCTGAGTTTGACACTGGTTGAGGGCTAGACAGTGTTTCCACTGTACCTTGCAACTAATTTACACAGCCTGACTGCAAAATAGAGCTGATACTTTTTGTAAACACACACAGCCCTGCAAAAACTGTTACATGTACAAAAAGTAATTCATGATTGTTGTTTTTAACTTTTTAACTAAAAAGGACAGGATACATGTTGGTTTTAAAAGATTTTAATGTGCCTATCTCAATTAAATGATACAATGGAAACTTTGTATGCTTTTCTGGAATTAGCATTTAGGGCAAAAACTGAATGCTAGAGTGTTTTTCAAAAGTGGTACCTATTAATTCCAGCTACTCTTCAAGCTGTGTAAATGCTTTATTACATGAAGAATAGTGTGCATGTACATACATGCGTGTATATATATGCATGTATGTACACTATTGTATGTGTGCTGCAGTATTCACTTGAAGATCAACACTGCCAAGTCTTAATAATTCATATCTTTTATAATTTGAAAGAGCTCATGTTTACCGAGAAACTGATGAGACACATTTTTAAAGATGTGCTTGTTCCTTAAATTTCATTAAATCCCTGTTTAAAGAGCAACTCTTCAGGGGTGGTATGGTGTGAAATCTCTTTGAGTTCAAATAAAATTGTGTGCTTATGAGTTGGGGGGAAAAAAACCAACCAACCAGCCAACCAACCAAACCCAGGCCTAAGAATAAAGTTAAAGAATTAATTTCTTGGCAAAAGTGACTGGCTATAGTCCAGATTCTCTTCACCCAGAAGTTGGAGTGGATCAGCTTTCAGTAACCGCCCAACATTCACGTATCCCCTAAGTGAGTTGAAGATGGAACTGTCTCTTAGATGTGGTGTCCCTGGCTTTTAACTTGTATGTAATAGTTCTTAAACTTGTATGTTGCTGTAATGCAGCGAGATACAAGTATTGGCTAATATACATACAGCCATGGGAGTTATTTTTAATATGTCTGATCTTTTGTTTCTTGAAACTGTTATGCTTTCTGTGATGGCGATAATCTTTTATCTTCTGTTGCAGCGATAAAGCTGATGTTAATATCTACCTCATGCCCAGGGCATTTTGTTGGGAAGATATTACATCTTTTATTATATCTAATGTATAGCAGGAAAGCCATTAAAGAATTTTTCCCCACTTCCGTTAGGTAGCTGTGTATTTCTAAAACCAGCCTGCATGTTAACAGTTAGCAGTATGTCTTTGTCAAATCTGTTACAGGTTCTTTTTCTTACAGAACCAAAGTTAACAATTACCATGTTGAATATGGTGTGTCATCTTTTTTTTAAAATATATTAACAGAAGTTAAGCTGCCTTGTTATAAAACTGAGTGTTTCAATCTTTTTAAGTTAAATTTGGACTGCACTTACAAAAAAAGTACTTCTGATTCCCAGAGATCATAAAGAAGCAGGGTGAAGGAGTCCCAGACTTAGTCCACGTGATGCGTACGTTAGCAACTGAGAGCATCCCAAACCTCCCGCCAGGGGGTGAATTGGCAAGCAAGTGAGTTCACATCAGTGTAAATGTGGTTTTTGATTTAAATCGAAACTTAACTGTAAGGCCACTCTTAAAAGTGGGGGGAGGGAAGAAGGGTACAGGACAAAAGGTGATGATGATCTGTTCTCCAATTTTTATTACTTGGTTGTTCTGAATGAAAAGGACAAGCATAAGAACAGAGTTAACTATGAATCACTACTAAAATTAAGTCAAACTGTAGTTTTGGGAAGGACAGGGTTGTTTTTAAGGGTGGCCTGAGTGTGTCTGTTTTTTGTAATTAACTGCGTTTTCTGGGTGGGAGGTTACATCTGAAGATGCAAAAATAATGCACTGATTTTAGTAGTTACTTGGATATGTAGTTCTACACTCGACAAGAAGTGATATGTATATGATGTTTTGCTTGGCAGCTTTCTTGTCTGTGGCTAAAGCAATGTTGTAATTGCTTAAAAGTTTGCGTTTGTATCTGTCTGCTTGTGACAAATCTGAAAACTGGATAGAAGTCTATCAAAAAAGAAAAGTGGGAAGTTAAATTCACAGCTTTATATAGGCTGGCTTTATCCTTGAAGAGTTCAGTGTTGATGCTCTGTGGCTTCTCAAATTGATGTTCAAGTCTTTAAGGAAGCAATGTGCTTAGCTTGTTTGCATACCAAGTGCTTTTTGGTTCAAAAGATTGTTCATGAACCTGTACTGTGTTAAAATGGATTGGACACATACGGTACAGACTATATTTTGAACCCTTTAGAAAATGATTTTTGTATTGTTACACCAAAGCATGAAGACTCTAGGTACGTAATGGAATAAATGATAATTGAACCGTAAAGATGACGTCTACAAAACAAAATTGTTCTTACATGACCTGTTTGACTAGGAAAAGAGATGGCTTTTTTATATATAATAGCAGCATCTATTTAGGATGTATTGCTGTAGTCTTGAGGTACAGATGGATGTTACTCATGAAATACAGCATACAAATTGATTTTTCTCAATCTGCCTTGGCTAGCAGTAGCATCATGGTTGTGAGGAAGTGCTGAAGTCACTGAAGTGACTGACTGCTGTGAGATTTTGTCTTAGTGATGCTAGTTTGAATAGGGGGTGATAGAAGTATGGATTTAATTGGATGTTAGAATAACTCAAAGCACAACTGCCAATTTAAAGGAAAACAATGCTTTTGAAGAAACCTGCCTTTATTTAGAATCAAAGATACCTGTTTCTTGAAAGATAAAGGAAGCTTTCCAGTTCATACGTGCAATGTACTTCGTGTGTAATTCCTTGTTTTTATTGCTTTAAATTTGGCCTCTTCTTCTGTGCCCTATGATCATTCGCTAGATTCACTATGATGTTTATACTGCTGCATGGTGGTTCCTGACTTTTCAGTGTTACGGGATGATCATAAAGCCTATCATCTGCTTTTTTTTCTTCTAATGCGCTCCTTTGATTGCTTTGCATGCATTCATGAGCAGTTAAAAGGTTGTTCTTTGAAGTTTGTTTGGTATCACAGTTGTAGTCTGCTACTCCATCATACTTGGTTCTGCAGAAGGGGATCTGGAAGAAAGTTGCTTTTAAAGTCCAGTTTATAATTCCTGTCTTTTACTCTCCTCTTTCCTTCCTGCTCCCCTCCAAAGTTGTTTCCTTAAATGCTGGGTAAGGCAAAGGCTTCCTCTTCCTTCAGCCTCACATTGGTTTCTTTCTGAGTATCAGTTTTCAAGAAAACGTTTTTACCCTGTGTGGAAAGAAAACCCAAACCAAACAAACCCTCCACAAAAAACTGAAACCTGCTTGTTTACATGTTGTTTGCAATTTTTCTATTAATATTTTATCAATATATTTCCTAACTATTTCTGTCAATATTAGAAAAGCTGAGAATCACAGAGACACGAGTTAATGAAAAGCTAGCTTAAATATGCAAAGCACTTTTTTTAAAATGAGGAAATTGTCAAGATGCTTGCATTAATTTTTTTAATGTTTTTTTTACCAGACAAAACTCTTCTCCGTCTGAAGATATGATATGTAGAACTGCTATTCGCACTTTAATTTTTTTTTGAGAAAAGTTGCAGGACTGTATTGGACATATTATTGTAAAAGAGTATTGCTTCAGAAATAATTTTTTCAGATTTGCAGATGGAAAGTACATTTCAGAACGTAACACAAAAATGTACTTCAGAATGCAATTTTTGTAATTCCAGAAAATAAAAAAAAACCTGTTCCCCTATGACAGTGCCATAATGCATGAAGTACTACTGCAGCGTTCAGCAGACACACTAATGACCAGGGCATTCAACATCCATCAAGTTTTCTGATGCCTTTTTTCAAAGTCAAGAGACGTATCCCCAAACAGCATCGCAGCCTCATCTGCATGTCAGATTGTGCTCTTCTACTGCTGAACTAAGTGGTATTCAGCCGTGTTTTTCTTGAACCTGAAGGTTTTAAAGGATGTGATAGCTGTGTTAGATGTTTAATGACACTTGGTGCTAACTTGCTGTAAACTTGGTTCTGTGAATTTAAAACCTTTTAAAGTTTGCTTTTTCAATTAAAATTGTACTCTAGGGAATTTGACTTAAAAAAAAAAAAGACACAACCTTAAAATCTTGTGGGTTTGTTTTTTTTTGCTCTAGACGGAGTGTGATTGAAGCCGTTTATAACAGACTGAATCCCTACAGGAATGATGATACTGTAAGTATTCTTTCTCTTACGTTATCTTTCCTCCACCCCAATTATTTTAGCTCTTTTTTTAAAGAAACATATTGCTAGTTCTTGTTAAAAGACTGCTTCCCTCAAAGAAGCAATAGCAATGTTGTGCTCCTTGGACTATGTTTTGTAATTGTTTTCTGCTGCCTTCTGCTGATCATAGTCTCAAAACTCGGGTATGGTAGATTTGTTTGTCCTCTGGAATTTCATTATTTGCATCCTGCCTGAGTTTCCAAATGCTTTCCTGCCAAATGGAGCAGTCATGTTGTTGGTTTTTTTTTTTCCTCTTATGGGAGACATTTTTCCCCAAATAGCAAGAAGAAAAAGGCTATTCTTGTGGGTTAAACAGATTTGTAACTGTTAGCTTTAAGGATGTTTTAATTCTCCAAATGGGCTGCATAAGCACTTTTATTCTTAAGCATAGAGCATCTTACAGCAAGCATACAGTTTAAGTTCTTACATGTCAGGTATCAGTGTGATGTGAATCCACTGTCGGGGGCGGGGGGGAAACTCTAAAATACAAACAGTGATCCCAGTTGCAGTTAGATCACTGGAAACAACGTTCTGTCACCGAAAGTGCTGTACTTCATGAGGTAGCTCAATTGATCCTTTGCCTATCAGCAAAAATTACTTACATGCTTAGATGTGACAGAAATAAAATGCATCCAGATATAAAGGATTGTGTGTTGGCTTTACAACTGGGTGTTAGTTTATTTGGCAGTTCTCATTATATCTTTAGTGTAAAAATCCCTAAATAGTGGCTGGAAGAGGATGCTTTACCTTCAAAATACATTCTATAGTATGTTACTGTTCTACAAATGTACGCTACACAAACTTCATTGTTCTGTGATGATGTTGGCACTTGGACACAGAAATTTGCATACTGAATAGTTGGCATGCAGCTCCTGCGTTTTTACTCACTACTGCTTTTATTCTTCATCCTTGCACTTGAAACAAACACAGCCTCTTTGGTCTTTCATGTAATTGCTCTCCTTTGCTACTTCTGGTCTTGAAGAAAAAACTGGAGGTGGTACTTTTGCAAAGGGTAATTTTAGTGATTTGGGGTTGGTGTTTTTTTTTTTACTACACCTCCGTGCCAGCTGTTCTTCTTTACGATTTATAATGAATTCTGTGTGTAAGTTTGAATGAAGGGTGCAGAACTTTCGTGCTAAGAAATTGTCGTATGTGGCATTGCTAGAGACTTAATTAACCCCTTTTCTCTCAAAGGAATCAGTAAGGCAGTGCTTTTAAAGAGGAGTAATATTTCTACCTCCTACAGTTTTAGTAATGATAGGGAAGTGTAGCTGTGGAAGCACCAGCATACACCGTTGTTAAAGCCCATCCTGGCTCTTAATTACTTAGGGGAAAGTAGCAGGTAATGCTGAAACAACCAAAGATTGCTGTACAGAAGCAGTTTGCTCTGATGCCTGTGCTACTGACTTAGCTGTTGCTTCAGCTACCAAGCTGTGGTCCCACTTCTTAGTCGTGGTGTTAAACTATGCACCCAACCGATGAGGCAGGCAGAGAAAGCTGAATATAGAATAATCTAAACAAGGGGAAAGGAAACACACATGATTAAAAAAGGCTTGCTAGAATTAAGTATTCCATTTGTACTAGGATTTTTTTAACTGATAGCAGGAATTGGTTAAACATTTTTCAGGGGTGTGGTAGTTACACCAAATCCACTGTTGCTTGTGGGCCTAAGTAGACCAAATGTTAGGGACACTCAGGTATTGGGTGCATGGTTGTAATGCCATGTAGTGTGGCCATATGGTTATGATTTACAGTACGGCATGTCTCAGCTTCCAATTTTTTTAGATACATTTTTTTTTGCTCCTTGTGGTTTTATTACCATCCAAAATTAGGGTTTCCTGTAGTTGCCCAAACTACACTTCTCTAACCTTAAATTATAAATCTTAAAATTGATCTGAATTATAACAGGTTGTCAGTTGTTGAGTGTATCTTCCTATGCAATGAGGGAGGGCTGAAAACACAAAAAATGCTAATGATAGTAACAAATGGTATGAGGCACATTCTGCTCTTTTGACTCACCTGTGTAGTAAGTGTAACCATTTTGTATTACTTCTAACTACTCTGGGAATGCTTTTGAATGATGTTCCTAGGATATTATTTTGAGAATTGCTAAGGCTATTATAAAACACTTGATCAGACTTTGAAATGTCTTGGTACTAATGCTTCATTAATTAAGCTTATGTGGTTTTTAGTTGCTTCTTAAATACTATTTCTGAAAGGGGAGAGAAAACAGACTTCTAAAATTATTTAAGTCTACCCTTTTCAGTCTCGATTATCCAGAAACTGCTGTAACTGTGGGCACTCCAGACTTTAAAGGGTTCCTTCTTTCTTTCTTTAAGGATTCTGCCTCAACTGATGATATGTGGTAAAACTGCTCATGTAGCTGTGGAGTTCACGTTTCATCCTTCAGATGAAAGTGCAGCCCAACCTCAGTGACCCTTCTTAACATCCATCCTCAATCTTAATTAAAGAAGGGAATATGATGTGTTGGTGAGAGTGACTACAGCAGTACGACATCTAGCCCAGGAACTGATCTTTTTTTGTAATATGGACTTCTGTAAACGTGATTTCAAACCATAATTCATGTTGTAAATCAGACTCCAGCAATTTACGTTGTATGATTTTGTTTTTGTAAAGTGCAATTGTCTTTGTACAAAATGCTCATATTTAATTATGAACTGCTTTAAATCACTATAAAGGTTAGAAGAAATGTTTGGCTTGTGTGATGCAACAGTATATATCCCTTTAAAGTCATATTGTGGTTTTAGATTGCAAGGAGCAGCAGCCTAGCCAGCTAGGTGCTCAAGAGGTGCACAAAACTGTAAAGATAACTTCTTGTTTTATATGAAAGCTGAGCTTGTGGGCAACTTACCAGAAATTACAGTGTGTGAATTTGCTTGGCAATGGAAAAATAACTGAGGGTAGTGCACATTCTTCAACAAACGTATCTCATTTTCTTGGCCACACTCCTGCTCTCACACTGAGTTAAAGTGAGTTCTGATTTTGACTTCAGTGGGAGTTAAATCATGCCCTATTAATAGTATCATGTTCATACGCATATGAACCTTGGGATTAGAATGCCTTGATTCTTTGCACCTCTTTTTTCATTAACCCTTACCTGAAACTAATAATCACTGAGCACGAACAGGCAGCTTTCTACATACGGTAGGAGTCTGCAGCATTTTTACAATCCTCATTGGCTGGGTCTGCTGCTGTTCCAAGTAAAATACTTTGAATTCCATTTTATCAATAAAGCTTGATTTAACAAACAAGAAATTTATCCATAAATGTGTAATTCCTTTTTTCCTGCCTTTTAAAATGTCAGTGCCATTGTAAATGATATTTTACTTGTGGAAGAATATTTTTATTAATTGGTAGCCCATTTTTAAAATGGGAAGGATTTTGATTATTGCCCAAGACATAGCCATATGCTAGAGGATGATGTGGGATTAATCTGTTACCCTGTTTTTTACAAGTGTGGGTTTTTTCAGGCTTTTTGGTTTTTTTTATTTCTCCCCACTGAAGATGTGCATTGGTTTGAATTTGCCTACTGTTTGATAAAAATACATTTGTCAAAGCCTGACAATCTTTAACATTTTATGGTGTGTGTTTTTAATTGACCCACTTGCTTAGAATAAGACTAGTGGTTAAACAGTACTTGTGATTTGAGATATAGCATGTTGACAATATTTAACTGTTCGTTGTTTAAAATTCTAATTTAAAATTTTATAAGATAATAAACTAATTTGATTTAAGCTTAGCTTTCTCCCATTGAGCATACAAAAATTAAGTTTTCAAGTCAGTCGTGTTTGCAAAACTGCTGTTTTGTGCACCTTGTATTGTCTTTTTGGTTGAGAATATTGTATTTAATATGTAGTTTACTCATTTAGTAGGCAGATTCCCCAAAAGGAAAATCAGTAAAACGAGTAGATTGTAACATTTACTGCAGTTAAACAGAATCAAAAGTTGGTGTATAATTACTTTTTTATAGGAAAATGTAGTACAATGCATTTTGCTATATTTGTCTTTCCCT